TATTGGGGATGGGTATGGGGGTGTTGGTGGGGTTATTTGGGGTTATGAACTCCCAGAAAAAAAAATAATAATAATAAATTTGCAAGGTGCCGACGACCCCCTACCGGTAGGTGCCGACCAGCCGAACGGTCGGCTGGTCAGCAGTCGACCAGTCAAGGGGCAGCGACCGTCGGGGTATGCAACACTGCATGATACAGAGAAGACTAGCATGGCCCCTGCGCAAGGACGACGCACATAATCGATAAATGGTCCAAAAAAAAAAAAAAAAAAAAAAAAAAAGAGAGAGAGAGGAAATCTACCTGCTGCCCGAATGGTGCACACATACTACTGTTAGTCGGCAAGCCATGAGATCAAAACATCCTTGATATATAGTCTAATGTCCGAGGCTAGCACCTTCTTAGAAAACCACAACTTCTGAAATCACCTCCTGGTCTCAAGTTTTTCCGAGGTGTCCCAACACAGTAGTGGTCCGATTGCGCCAGATTAACGGTTGAAATACAGACCCGAGTTTGAATCCAACCAGATGAACACAAGAAAATAACACGGAGTATGGCAAATCAAACATCTTTGGTTAGAGGAGGAGGAGATGGAAAACTGCCAGAGAAATGAGAACGGACTTGAAAGGCAGTCACAACCTATTAGAGAACTTGAACGACGTGCTACTCTCTGTTCCAGAGGAATGGGTGACACTGCTACAGCAAGGCCCAAAATGGATGGGCAATGATTGGGCCACCTGGCAATCAGACGAGGCACCAGCAGAGGCATTCCAGGTACAAGGCAGAGAAGGGCCAACTGGTCAAATGGTTGACGACAGACATGTACACAATTGCAGACCCAGGACCTACAACTAGTCACCTGAGCAAGGAATCAAGGACCCCAGTCTCAACTAGAGCAGACTTGGTCAGGAAGGCACGCGTTATTGAAACAGAGGAGTCTGGGCACGCCCATCGAAGAACTAGAGCTGGATCCTATTGAATGGGCATGGGACCTAAGGAAAGGTTCAAGGAAGGTCTCCCTATGAACAAATCTGCTGCAATATACTACGAGATTGGGCTATAGGCTAAGAAGGCGATCTCAGGCACTGGATGACATGCTGCTACAGAGCTGGCACAAGCACATGGGTTTGACCCCATGACAAATACAGAGTTGTCCTTGGTCCCGATTGAGATATATTCATCTGGGCAAGGTTCGGAGTCTGCAGGAGTTATGCATATATCTAGCAGTGCTTGTGAATGTGTGGCTTAACACGCAGAGGAGCTCAGAAACAAGAAACCCTCAGAATGAACTTTGTCAGCGCTGTGTGGAGATCCAACACGAGATGGTAACCCATAGCCCACTGGAGTGCGAGAAGGCTCACCAGCTATGGCAAGAGGTGCAGGGACTGTGGCACCAAGTCAGCTCTCACTCCTTCCCTACCAACAAGGTCAGTTTGCTACTGGGCACCCAGACGCCTCCCACTTGGGTGTGCTTTGAGAAGGAGTGTTTTCAGAAGCTCCGTCGATATGGATTGTGGGTAATATGGAAGAGACAGTGTCAGATTACGATAGACCTACATCAGCCGCATTTCAATGAGGTTTGCACTGAACTTCGGTTACTATTACAGACCGGAATCATGGCCCAAAGGGCCAGAACACGAAAAAGGATGGATGGTGATCCAGACACTGCCCACCAGATCAAGGAATCCTTCATGATTCGGGTACTGGGACAGGGAAAAATAGCAGAAATTCTGAACAGAACATTGAGATGGAATTTATGGAAATGATGGTCAGCAAGTGAAGCTGCAGCTGCTTCGGTAGGTACAGCTAGTTCAGAAAGAAAGATTAGGGTTAGGGCTTAATCGTTAACCGAGTCAGGGGACTATACCCTTGAGGAGGGAACGGGGGGGGGGGGGGGGGCAACACTGATCTAATTGGGGTAGGCATCCTTCCCAAATTGTTGGTGAGCTGGGGGAGCGCCAGGAGAGCGGACATGGGACGGTGTATTTTGGCTAGGGTTTCCAGAATGTCAGATGGCTTCAGGCTGAGAGGTCAGAACGCACTATCCATATCAAAGCTAAGCTGGGTAATGCTCCCAGTAAATTCGATGTAATGTTTTATTAACTTTTACACCGATTCCCAGCAGGTGTTGCGCCCCACCAATGGAACGGAGCCACCGACCAGAAGGCCTGGATCCTGTTGGTGCTTATACCACCACAGGACCGCAGATCTTCCTCGGATGTTTCATTTAAAAAAACAAGTGGACGCGCCGCAGCCACGCTGCAGCAGAGGAGAGGGACGAACAGGGGGGCGTGGCTGTTGTTGTTACACTGCTTGGGTTTCATTTTAATTTTTTTTGTCGTCATATTTGCTATCCAGTAGTATACACTAAAAAAAAACATGACTGTGGCAGACTGTTTCCGAGTGATCAGGAGGTTGTGTGTGTGTGTGTGTGTGAGAGAGAGAGAGAGAGTCTCTCTCTCTCTCTCTCTCTCTCTCTCTCTCTCTCTCTCTCTCTGTGTGACACACACACACACGCGCGCGCGCACGCGCCCAGGCAGGGCCACTTCAACAGTTTCATGTGTGCATGAACTGAGCAAATTCAATAAATGATAGTCATTAAATCTATACTCTTCATATCTCTATTTTTAGTCGTAAACGCAATGAACTATTCTTTTTGATAAATCAACATTTTGATATTTTGTTTTTTTACAGAATTGAGAGTATCTTTTTACTGTGCAAAATGAGAAGGAGAGTATGGAGTAAGGGGTTGTGAGATGCAACCCCATCCCGAATCCCCTCCCCCTCCTTCTCCCCCTCCTTCTCCCACTCCTCCTCCCGCTCCTCCTCCCGCTCCTCCCACTCCTCCTCCTCCTCCCGCTCCTCCTCCGCCAAACAACGT